CTCTGTGTCTGCTCAGCCCATCACAAAGACAAGTTTTCAAGGTGAGTACAGGGTCACCTTGAATACAGGGTCAATCTGCAGGCTTTATATCCTGTCACTTTCTAACTACCACCCTCAGCCAGTGCTCTTCATTTTCACCCTGTTTATGAGAGCACCTACCAGAGGGGGGAAGGCTGTGTATGCTGTATGTTTGAGAAGCCCAACAGCCTACCAACAGATCCCTTACTTTTCATTGTCCTCACTGATGAGCCCCACACTGTAATGAACTCCCTTCCCTGATTTATTGCTTTAGTCTCTTTGGAAGGCATTTCAGATATTGTGACAGCGCCACTTTAATTTCCCCTCTCTTCCTTAGTTTATGCCTGGATTTGGGATCTTGTGTTCCAAGATCTTGTCCAAAGCAAGCAGGCTAAGATTCTGCCCTTGCTTATATATTTCATCAGGGAGAACTCCATTCCCTCTCTTGGTCCTTGGTGTGAAGTGTTATTTTCTCAGGAAAGTGGAGAGAATTAAAAAGATTCCATATGAGAATGCTAGCCTTGTAAAACATTTTTTAAATCACATTTACTTTTTATTTGACTTATGACAACCCCGTGAAATGCAATGAAAATCATGAAACAATGACATCAAATGATCACCAGTAAGAAATAGAACGGTTTTCTCCTATCTCCTAGCACAGGGCACTGCCCATGAGCCTTCAGAAGAGCTAGTAGAATGCCTTTCCCATTCTTGCAAGGTGCATGATTGCTGCATTGGTGATAGGAGGAGCATCTTACTTCCCAGGCACTCACTGACTTCCCCTTGATTCTTTTGTAGTGATGGACACTTCCCTGGGGATGGACACTTCCCTGGGATTGCAACTTGCAGGCCAAACATTTTATCGACCACAAACTGCAGAATTCCCCAAGTCCTGCAGTAGCACACATATCCAGATACTTGAGAGCAACCCACCCCCTGAGCTTGGGGATACTTCAGTGGCAGCTCCAGTCCAGAGTCCTGGTAATCTCCTGCCACTGCCACCAGCTCCAAGCCAGGAACAGAAGGAGAATCAGAATGGGCAGGGTATTAACACCGAGCTTTCAAAGCCCTTGGATGCCGACAAGGCCCCAGCAGAAAAGCAAGATCTTCCACTGCTCCCTTTAGAAACCCCTGACATTCACCAGGCCCTGGCCTGCACTGATCCCCTTGGCCAAGAGGAGCAGCCTGATTGTGAGAAAGCTGGTCTGGGACATCCTAGCCTGAGTCTTAAGGACCAAGGGACACTTGAAAAGGAGACTGATTCAAATGAGAGTTTTGCAGACATTGCTACCCTGGTGGAGGTTATTCGCCTCCCACAGGTTTTAAATTCCCTGGAGGACCTTGATCAACCCAAAGGTCCCAAGGTGATCAAAACCAAAGATACCAGAGCCATCAAATTGAATGAGGTGCAGAAAAAGCCAAGTGTCATCAGGGCTCCCTCAGATAAAGCCGGAAAGAGCAAACATAGAGCCTCTGAGTCTGTCAGTGATGCTCCCAGGGCTAAGACCAAGCTCGAGAGCCCAGACTGTGTGTTTGTGAGAGAAGTGGCTGCTTGCGATCCTGTAGCTGCTGACAGGGCTTCTTTGAACAGGGCCAAGCATTCTGACAGCAAGCCTCAGAAAACTGCACCCAACAGGCCCAGCAAAACCAAGGGCCATGGGCAGGAAAATACCAAGACAACCAAGGGAAACATCTCCAAGAGGGGTGAAGAGAGGAAGCAGCCAGGGAACAAAGTTAAGGCTGAAGGGAAGACAACCATCCCCAAGAGGAAGCAAAGGCAACCTGAGCTGACTCAGGAGAACTTCAAGAAGCCCCGGAGCTCCCTAGGTAGGCACATGCTCGAGTCTGTGCAGGTTTTCCATGCACTGGGGAAGAAGAGCGACAAGAAAACTGAGCTCTCTTCCTCTCGGGCTCTGGGGAACTCAAGCAACCCCAAAGGCCCCCAACTACGCCCAGCCCTCAAAAGGTGGCTGGATAGCCAAGGCGAGGGCAAAGGTCCAGAGAAAACGCAGGTCAAACGCCAGAAACCAGATGGCAGTGCTGAAAAAGAGTCATCTCCATCTCAGTACAAGCTGCCATCTCCTGGGAAGGTCAAGTTGGTGCCATTGCTTTTTCCAACTGTGGACAAGCCTCACGCTCGACCTGTTCCTCGCAGGCCACAGTCTCTGGCACCATGTCGTCCTGCTGTGGCCAACCCTGCCAGGCCTGGTGCAGTCCTTTCATCCCGGCCAACCCCTGCATCTTTGACAGGTCCTGCCCGACCAGCTCGTCCAGATTTGACCAACGGGGCCCCACCAGGTTTGGCCAACCCTGCCCGGCCTCGTGTCCCTCAGCCTGCTGCCGCTGGGCCTGCGCCCTCCAAAACATCATCTGGCCCTTCTTTCCATCGGGAGCCCGTTCGCACTGCTGTCACCCAGCTCCGGGCCCCGCTCAAGCCTCAGAACCGGTATCTGCTCCAGGATTTCGCCCTCCAACCAATTCCGTGGAGGAGAGCAGAGGTTCTTGGGCCGGTAGTGTCAACGCCCATCACAAATGAGCAGAGGCCAGAGCGGGAGGCCATGAGGAGGAAGGCTCAGCTAGAGCGGGAGAGGGCCGCCAAGGGCTGTGCGGGGCAAGCGCAGCATTTCAGCGCCCGAGAGAAGGAAATGGAAATTTCCCTGAACTATGGCTATGCGATGTAGGAGATGCTGCAGTGCTGGGGCCCCTCTGGACACCGGCTGTTTTGCCAGAGACACATAGATAAATTTATCAGTCCTGATATATTTTAAAGCAATAAAATTGAATGAATAAATATAATAGAATTAGTGGATGAGTAATAAAAAAGTCTTTTAATTTTGAGATGCTGTTAAGTGAGTTTTTTCTTTGGTGGGGGTAGGGATGGAAGGCTGCCTGAGGAGGTAATTGTTGGAGATGGGACAGATGGATGAGGGGCGAGGGTTTGTAAAACCTTAGGAAAAATGAAACAACTTAGTCCATGGCCAGAAAAGGTAGAAGAGGAGAGATGTTATTGTTTTATAAAAAGGAGCTGGAGGGGGCAGGGACTGGCAGAAGCTAGAAGCACAATCTTAGTTTCTGGTTAAAAGAGTAAAATTTGAATCGAGTTGAAGATGGCAGAAGATGAGCCCAGGCTGACCAGGAGAAATGTACAATGTGTCTCGGGCGGAAGGTTGGCCTTATGTCTCAGGACCACCAGGTAAGTATTTTAGAAAATACATTCAGGGCACATTTCCAGAAGGTTTGGGTTGCCTTATGCATGTGTGACTGTAGTTGGGGGAGGTGAGTACACTCAGGGGGAATCTACCAGAGGAGTGGCAAGGGCTTAGACTTATCCTGGGGATAGCTGACAACAGGGGCCTAGCCCAGTGACCGGCTGCAGCAGGAGGACCCCCAGGACAGGGCCTGGGATATAAATCACCATTTACTCAGCCCCCAGGGCACCAGGGCCACTAATGCACTACTTCAGTCACCCTCACACCAGGCAAGGCTGGTGTCACTGAGCCACTTGACTCCTGAGGCTCAGCAATGGGCTGTCACAGTGCACGTGGTGCAGCAAAGCCTCAGCCTGAGTTGTCCCCGAGTCTGCATTATTTGCAAGGCCCCCAGGTGGCCAGCCTGGCTCCCAGAGCACAGCATCCAGACGCCTCTGGGGGACGAGATCAGACATCAGCAGAAGCCTAAATATGAACCTGAAGGGCAGCCAGGGCCCCCTCCGTGGCTGGGGCTGCACGCGCCGCCTGCCTGAACAGCGCCATCAACCGAAGCCCGAGAGAAACCCGTTGGGAGCGGCCATTCCCACGGCGACAGCACCGGGCGCGAGCGCACCAGGTGGCGCTGGAGCAGCCGCGGGCCGCAGGCGCCAGGTCCCAGGGGCGCCCGGGAGGCCGCGCGGGGGCCCCGCTCCACAGCAGCGACGCGTGGGTGTGAAATCACTCCTCCGCCCAAGTCCTTCCTTCTGTCCTTGGAGTTTGTTAAAAAGATCCAAGGGGTAAAAACGTTCTTCTGGAGCAAGTCTGTCCTCAAAGCTCTTGTTCTGAGTAACTTTGAAAGCAGTGAAACATCCCAGGCGCCCTCTATCCAGCTGGGAGGCAGTCTTTCCACCTTTTGGGGGATGTGGTTCTGCCCTGCCTCTTGGCCAATGAACCAGAAAAGCAGCGCCTCTGGCCCCAGCCTCGGTGCCCCTGGCTCATGTGGGCACCAGGATGCCACTCACCCAAGGCCAGGAGCTGCCACCAGAAGCTCCTACCCAGCAACCTCGGCAGCTCCACCCACACCCCGCCTCCAAAATGTTTATTTCTTAGTACAGAGGTCACAGATGCAGACCAGTTCCAGGAGCTGCATCAGGGTGTATCTGTTTGTGGTTCAGCCCAATTAAAAAGTACAGGTTCACTAAGAGGGCCGGGGGGTGGGGGGTGGGGTGTTAGCTCAGCCACAGAGAGCACTCTGGGCTCTGTTTTAGATCGCCCTCTTGACAATATCAACTCCATTGTGCTTTTTCTTTCACAAACCACTCTGAAAAATAGTTCAACCTTTTTATTAAAACTAAACATGCTCCTACCATACAACGCAATAATTCTACCCTGGACATTTATCCCAGAGAAGTGACAGGGTATGTTAACACAGGAATGCTCTCTGCGGTTGATCCCTAATAGCAAACACCTGAAGGGAATCGAGATTGTTAAACGGTGGTACATCCATTCCATAGACTATTGCTCAGTAATAAAAAGGAAGTAACTATTGACACATGCAACAACCTGGATGAATCTCCAGAGCATTATGCTGAGTGAGAAAAGCTAATCCCTAAAGGTTACATACTGGACGATTCCATTTTCATAATATTCTCCGTATGGGAAAATTATAGAAATGAAAGACAGATTAGAAGTTGCCAGAAGTTAATGAGGGGTCTGAGTGAGTGGGAAAGTGAGTGTGATTATAAAAAACCAACAGGAGGGAGGGATCCTTGTATGATGGAGACATTCTTTATCTTGACAGTATCAGTGTCGATATTCTGGATGCAAAATTATATTACAGTTTTGGAAAATGTTACCGTAAGGGTAACATGAAAAGATTAATTTTCAGAACACTCCCTATGCCTGGGTTGCAGCCCACACCATGTGAATTAGAATATCTGTAGGTGGGCATCAACCAGGCATCAGTAGTTTTTAAAGATGCCCAAGTGGTTCCAGTGGGAAGCAAGTTTGGGAACCACTGAACAAGGCATCTCAGAAGCATGCAAGGAGATATTTAAGAAGAGGAAGAAAAGAGTTTCCTACAGTTCTGTCTGTTGGCAGAAGGGAATGACACAAAAGCATCCTATTACATTTTGGCCACAGCCCCAGTCATTGGGAGGGAGAGACCTTGGCCATTTCTTACTCATCTGGCAGGTTCCTGGCCTTGAAGCTTCACTAACTGAACTTAAACCTAAAAGCAAACCAATTCATTAACTGGAATAATTTATCAAAAGAAATGTTATTTTATCAGACAGAAGGGGGGAGGGGTTTGGGAAGAGATTAACTCAAGAACTTCTATGCATATATGCATAACCCAGGGACACAGACAATAGTGTGGCAAAAGCCTGAGGGAAGGGAGGGGCTCAAGGTGGGACCATGTGGGACAGCTGTAATACTTTCAACAATAAAGATAAAAAAGTTATATGCACCCCTAAAAAAAGACATTTCATAAATAATCCAATGTGTTCCTCTTCTTCATCCCAATAATCTTTATTAAATCTAGCCTGAGAAGGTGAGTTGTACTCATGCTGCTAGGTTTTCCAGAGCCTGCCCAAGGTATCACAGGTGTGTATCTGTTTTCAAATGAACACTCTACCCACACCTCACTTGAATTTTAGCTCCTTTCATGTTCACTGTCTTCTTTCTAGGATATTTGTTGGAGACACCACTTAACCTTGCTATAACATTTTTCTTAGCTTCTTAAATTGAACTGTAAGAAGAAAGGAGAGAGAAAGGGACTATGTCTTTCCTCTCATTACACTTGGATCCAATTTTGCCTTCACAGGGAATCTTACCGCACTGTTGAGAGGATTTTTAAAATGTTCTTCAATTGCATGTTTTCAAGTATTATCATGACTTGTTTTTCAGCCTACATCTTTTCTTGGGACTTTTTCTTAAATTAAAAACATTGTTTAAAATGCATTATCAGAACATCAATGTAATGAGTAAAGGCAGCCTTGTCAGACAAGATTACCTGCTTTTCCTCAAAGATGCCATTTTTATTGCATTAAGGATTGTTTGCTCAAAGTGATCTGAAGAAGTCACATGGATTGACCTGTACAGCAAGGCCTCTTTCTCACTAAGCCAATTTTCTGTTTGAATTTTACACTCTAAGCATCACAAGTCCAGTAGTGGCTCCATGGAGACTAATAGAATAAGGCAGACTGAGCTATCTTTAATATTTGTTTTTGTTTGTTACTTCCAAGAAATCTGTTTGGGTAAGATGAAATTAGACATGTATGCTAGTGGAGGTATGTAAATCCATTTTATGATAGAAAAGAACATAATTTACTGTTCAGCAAAATACAAGAGGGATGAGTTATTTCGTGCAAGACAGAGGCTCTTCTGGATGAAAGTCTACACAGACACACAGCATTAAACTCAGCAAAGGACAACCAATGAAAAACAAGCTGAGCACAAAGATTGCCTCTCATCCCATTATGTAAAGTTTCCATGCAGCAACATCTGGAGGCTGCACAGTCCAGATGATTTAAATAGAAGACTCAGAGGCAAACCATACTTAGGCCTGGATCTTTGTGAACACAGCTTGTTGCCGAACCACTTTACTCTGCTTCTAATTCACAGCTCTATAGTCCCAACCAAGTACCCTCATTTGGTTTTCACAAGGCATGAAGTCCTTTCTCACCAATGGCCTTTTCTCAGGCCAGTCCTGCTGCCTTCCACATGATTCCCCTGACTCCTTGCCTGCTGGCTCCCTCTCAGACTTCAGGTTTCCATTAGAATAACATCCCCTCCCAACCTCCTCATTCTGGAGTAAGTCTCTGAGGCTAATGCCAGTTGCTCAGGTAGCATTTTAAGCACATGACACATGGAGCAACCTGTGACCCAGACCTGTATCATAGGTGTTCCTTTCTCTGAACACTTAACTTGCATCTGTTTTCTGTCCCATTCATCCATTCAATAGGCATCTATGCTTTATGACTCAAAGCAACCTCTTAAAATACATTTTAAGTTCTTGGAAAGTAAGGACCATCCTTTTAATGATAATAGGAAACTATCGATTATTTCCTAAGTGCTAGTCATAATGTTATATGCTCTTCTATATTAATAATATATGCAATGGAGCCATGATTCAAATCCAGGCAGAATGACCTCAGAGCCTCGCATACTCTTTCCTAAAACCTGGATCTGACACTTCTCAGCTGTTTGCATGGCCTTTGGCAAGTTGCCTGTTTCTTCATCTGTCAAATGGGAAGGACATAGTATCTGCCTCAGAGGGTTGTTGTGAAGCACAAAGAAAGCTCATACCTGTAAAGTGCTTAGAAGGTGGCTGGCATATCACAGACACTCATTAAATGTTAGTTGTTGTTATTATTGTTTATAGGGAAGTGTCCAGTCCCGGGAAATCCCTCAGTCCCAGTTTTAGCATGGAAGGGCCCATGTCCTAGACAAAAGTTCAAAATATGTCCAGAGGGTAGGCTTAGGATGGGGGA